GTAGTGGAGAGGTTTGAGAAGAGGCTAGCGGCCTGGAAGAGAAATTATCTTTCTTTAGGTGGAAGAGTCTCTCTCATTAGGTCTACCCTAGCTAACCTACTTGTTTACTATCTGTTAGTGTTTAAGATCCCCTCGAAGGTTTCAATTCTTTTGGAAAAATTAATAAGGAACTTTTTCTGGGAGCCTGGAAAGGAAAAGAGAGATCATAGGGTGAGTTGGGAGGTGGTCTCTAGGTGTAAAACTAGGAGGTCTTGGGATTGGTAATTTCAAGAAAAGGAATATGGCTCTACTGGGGAAGTGGTTGTGGAGGTTCTCTTTGGAAAGGGATAATTTGTGGACTAAGATTGTGGCTAGCATTCATGGGCTGGAAGACAATGGCTGGGATCCTAGAATCTTGGCAAGGGCTTCAGCTACTTCTCCTTGGAAATCCATCCACAATCTGCTTCCAGTTTTCTCCCCTTGGATCAGGTATGGTCTAAACTCTGGTAACCGAATAAATTTCTAGGAACATCTTTGGATCGGGGATTCTCCTCTGAAAGACCAGTTTCCTTCCTTGTATGCTCTTTCAAATTTGAAAAATGAACCCATATCTTCGTTCCTGGTCCCTTCAGCCTCCACTTCTGGCTTTGGATGGAACCTTGGCCTGCATAGGGCAATTAGGGATATAGACTTGGATAGCTTGGTAGCTCTGCTAGCCTCCCTTGAGGGTGTCTTCCTAAACCCTGCTAAGGAAGACACCTGATTTTGGACCCTTTCTATCTCTGGTACCTTTTCTTGTGCTTCATTCTTTGAAACCTTAACTCAACCTCCTATTCCCTTGGGGTTGTCCTTTCCAGTTAAGGAAATTTGGAGCAGGCCTATTCCTCCTCGGGTTGTTTTTTTTTTTGTTGGGAAATTTTCCTGGAAAGAATCAACACTTTAGACTTACTTCAGAGAAAGAGACCCTACTATTGTCTACTTCCTAATAGATGTGCTCTTTGTAAAGCTGATGGGGAATCTGGCTACCACCTCATGGTCTCTTGTAAGGTTGCTAAAACTGTTTGGGAGTGGGTTTTCTCCCGTTTTGGGTGTTCTTGGTATCCTCTGGAGACTGTCCAAGGTTTGTTTTTTCCTTCTTTTTTTCAGTTGGCCTAAGAAGCGAGGGAAGATTATGTGCAGGTGTATTAAGGCAGCAGTATGCTAGTCTTTGTGGGAAGAAAGAAACTCACACATCTTTTCTGACAAGGAAAGAACATTGGAAGATTTGTTAGATCGAATCCTTTTAAGAGCTGTCCACTGGCTAAAATCTTTGGAGTTATTTTCAGATTTTCCTATGGATGACTTTCTAAGGAACTGGAAAGAGATTGCTTCCACTGCTAGATGCAAGAGGACTCTTTGTCCGTTCTGGTCCCCTCCCCCCTCGGGCTTTATAAAGCTGAATTTTGATGGTAGCAGCGTAAGGAATCCATGGCCCTCTGGGATTGGAGGAGTCTTTAGGAATGAGGAAGGGATTGTTATTGCTTTATTCTCTGGCCCTATTGGAGAAGGTGACTCTCTTAGGGCTGAGATCCTTGCAGCGCTTGAAGGTATTCAAAGAGCAAAGGAATTAAATATTAGCCGCTTGATTCTGGAAGGTGATTCGAAGGTGGTGGTTAGTTGGTTGAAGACAGAGGACAGTGGTTTGTGGAACTTTAACAATGAAAAAAAAACAGTTCTTATGGCTGGGGAGGGACATTGAGATTCAGTACAGCTGGGTGAAGAGGAGTGCCAACTCATTTGCCGATGGATTGGCCAAGCAAGGAGTGAATAGGGAGGCTGTTTTTTGGGCCAGCTTTTAATATTTTCTTTGCATTCCCCGTGTTTTCTGTTTTTTGGGGAGCTAAGTTATTTTATCTCCCCCTTTGTATCCTTATTCCTTCTCTTCTCTTAATTTAATGAAGATGATGTTATTGATCAAAAAAAAAATTGTATTTCAAAATGAAAATCCAATTGCTTCAAATAATGAAACAAACATTAATAAAAGCAGTTATCCATTAATCTCCAGTGCAAAACTTTTTATCAAAAAAAAAAAAAAACTCCACTACAAAAATTCTACTGCTAAAACACTCATCACAGGTGATCTTAAAAACTGTTATCCATAATTCAAATATGACTGAAGCTAGAACAGACTCTACCAATATTATGTCCACATACACCTTAAGAAGTGGTGGCTCCCATCTTCCTTGGAGTTGCTTGAGTACCTTCTCCATAGTTACTCTTGAATCTGTGCAGGAGATGACGAAGGTACCTCATTCAACCTGTTCCAGTCATCTGTTGGTCTTCCTTTTGATCGCCTTCGCGCTCCAGTTATACTTCCTGATACAACTTGAAGGGAACCTGCAAGTGGTGCATGTGCTCTTGTGAAGGTGAAAGCTGTGGTGCCCGCACCTCACACAGAGTGTGAGTCTTGTTTCTGGGAGATGTTCCCAATGTGTGGCTGGAACATGCTGTGAGGTCGGTGTGAGGAGCAGATCTGAATTCAACTGCACACTTTTTAGTCTCATCTCCTTTTGTGTTCTTTATTTGGTCCTGGTTGTTTTCTCTCTTTGATTCCAGGTGGACACCTCCCTTGGATGTAGTGTGTCTATTTGACCAATGTTTTTTTAGACAACTGAAGAAATGTGGAAGAGTTATGTGGAGAGCCACAAGAGCAGCTATTCTTTGTGCTGTTTTGGAGGAAAGATAATAGAATTTTTTAAGGAGTGGAGAAATCCAAGGAGGAAACTGTAATAAAAATAACCATTATGATTATCAGTTGAAACTTTGGACTCGTTCAAAGACTTCTCAGTTGAGGATGTATATAAGAGCTGGGGAGAAGTGGCAGCTACAACTACCAAAAACAGAATGTGCAGGAATTGTGGTCCCCACCAACACAACAAAGAACAAAGTTGAATTTTGATGGGAGTTCTAGAGGTAATCCAGGTCCTTCAGGTATTGGGGGAGTATTCAGAGATGGAGAGGGTAGAATCTTTGCTATGTTTTCGGGGCTAATAGGAGTGGGGGACTCATTGAGAGTGGAGGTGATGGCTTTGCTTCAAGGGGTAAGATTTGCCATTGATTGGTTGCATTCAGGCAGATTAGGAGCATAGATATATAGACAACCCATAAGGGAAATCCTCAACATAACAAGGGAGATTGGAGCAAGCTTCAAGTGGATAAGAAGATCAACTAATGGATTAGCTGATACCTTAGTCAAACAAGGGACTGTGAGGGATAGTTTGTTTTGGGCAGTGTTGTAAAAAGAGTACTTTGGGTTGAACTCCCTAATTTAGTGATTGACAGTTATACTAATTTTATGTTAATGAATTTACTGTTTCCAATAAAAAAAAGACAATGGAAGCCTTGTTTGAAATTATCAAGATTAGGGGATATTTTTGGATAAAGTCGTTAGAGTTGTTTAATCCTTTCTTAGTTGAAGACATTGCAAGTTTGATTATTCATCAAACAAGGATAAAGTAATTAGGCATTGGGGTGTAGTATGGGAAACCTGGGGCTTTCGAGGGTGGGAGGAGTAATAAGGGATGAAGTGTAAAAGCTATCTATTTGGGAGCAATAGGGGAAGGTGGTTCCACAAGGGCTGAAATGTCTATCTTACAAGGTGTCCAACTAGCTCATGATATGGAGGTGGAGAAATTGATAATTGAAGGGGATTCTAAGGTGGTCATTTGCTGGATGAAATAGGAGTGAAGATATTTGTGGTTGTATAGTAATGAGATGAAGAAATACAAATGGTGGATAAGGAATTTGCAAGTGGTGGCTCAGTGGACTCCAAGATCGGCCAACTCTCGGGCAGATTGTATTATGAAGCAAGGAGTGAATAGAAATTCTTTATTTTGGGCAATAACTTAAAGGTTGGGGAGGGAAAAAATTGCTGTTTTCTTATCTTTGTACTATTAGATGTAATATTTTGTTCTTATTAGGAAATCATTTTCTTTGTTGCTGATAAAAAAAATGCAATAGGTAACTGTGCCAAGATTTTTGTCTGTTTTATTGCTTATTTTAGAACAAAAATAAAACAGCTGAGTTCAGCAAGTTTTAGTATGGTCTTTTTATCAGCATATCCTAACTATTAAGTACTGATATTGTAGCACTGATTAAACGGTCTTTTTATCAGCATATTCATTTCTTTGTAATGATGAACATGTTCATGTTTCAGGTTCAAAGAGAAAGGAGTTTACTCAATTCAAAGTTAATTGAATTTGAGAACTTACTAAGAAATCCATATGTTAAACCCAATTCTGTTCCTTCTGGGCCAAGCCCATTTCCTGGGACCAATTCCAATGTATCCCCAGTGGCTGTTCCAAATAATATGCCTCCTTCAATGTCTAGTTTTAGTCAACTGGGAACATCACTTAATCTGGGATCTGGTACTGGGTAAGGCCCCTCTCTGCAAATAAGTTCTCATTGTTCTTCTTGTTACACTGAAAGTGTTTCCATTCTTTTCTTATTGATAGGCAAATTACAAGATCATCCATTAAGAATAAATATAGTATTTGATATGACTCATGTATTCTGCAGGTCCCATCTCCAAGGGTACTAATTTTTGGTACTTAATTTATGTGTTTTGCAGTGCCTCTATGTCATTAGATAATCCTTTTATTCAAGCAAGTTCTTTCCAAAATTCAGGCCAGACTTCAAGTGGATTGGGTGTTAACATCTCAACATTTAGAAATGAAGGTCTAGATTTGAAATCTTTTAAAGCTAATGTTTGAGATTCCAAATGATGTACTGCTTCTGATTACGGATCGTACAGGTACTACAGGATCATTATGGAGCCAACAACCTGTACAGCCACTTGGAAGTGCCTCTAAATTTAACATTTCAAACTCAAACAACAATTTCACGGGTACTATAAGCAGCCAATTTTCTACTTCCTCGGCAGTGTCAGCACAGCTTCCCAGTTCAACTAACTGGTCAGAGCTTTTAAAACCCAATATCCTTTCTCTATTAATTGTTTTGGACATCTTATGCATTTGCAACCTATGTTGTTTTCAATCATTTTAACATACACAGTTCCCTTTCTGCAGGGATAGCAATAAAACAGCTATTAATAAGAATGCAAGTATTTGGCAAGAGGAATGGAATCCAGGAGAGGTAGAAAATAGACTACACTTAAATTTTTTGGGAATCTTAACTAGCTATAAACTGCTCTCTGTAGGTGTTGTCCATCCAATATGTAGGTACTAGGTTAGTGATAAACTCTGAGCGTGGTATCAAGAATGTTATTGATGGGCAGTTTCTATACCATCACTTTACGGCTGCTGTCACATCTAACAAATTATTTTGCTATTCATCTTTATGTTTTCTTAACATTTAAAAATAAAAAAAAAATGAGAAAGAGAAATTCAAGGGATTGCACCATAATAACAGTGAATAATAATCCAGCTCCCTAACACTGAACTGTTGCGTCTTTCTGCAGATTCCAGAAGAAGCACCTCCAGATGAATTTTTATAGGATGGTTACTGTTAGGATGAAGCCAGCCAGTTGTACAGGAAGAGGGTAAGGTCCTAGCTGGCTTGTACTTTATTGGATGCTTGGTCTTTCTGTTGGCAATGGTTCTCCATTTGGTCATAAAGGTCTCGCACTTATATGTATCAACTCTGGAGGGGTGGAATCAAGGGGGCAAGAGAATCTTATGGCTGGACATCAATGGTAAATCAAAGCTGACTTATTGGCAAGGCCTATTGCACACCTTTGGGTTCATTGAAGAACAATCTCTTGTTGGCTTTTTATTGTTCCGACCTTTCAACCTGATGCTTAGAAATGTAGGTCAATTATTTCTAATAAAGTATTAAAATATTATTATCATTATCATCATTTGAAATTGTCACGTGCAAGTACACATTTATTAGTAAAAAGAAACTCCCTAATGGAATAGGAAGCCACGCAATGAGAAAGGAGACTAAAGCAAAAATGTTTGTTGCTCTTCTTTATGAGACCCATCAAAAATTAGTTTCGGATTCATGTCAGACTAATATTGGGTAGGCTAAATAAATCGAGATGAGCACTCATTTTGCTCGATTCTAATCATAGCCCAGCTGCGATATAAAATTTATCTTATAAGAAGAGCACTCATTTTGCTCGATTCTAATCATAGCCCAGCTGCGATATAAAGTTTCTCTTATAAGAAGACAAGTTATTTGAGCAAAATGATCTTCCCATCTTGATTAGGATCTCTAGAAGATGTGCCTAAATCAGTAGTCCTCCCTGTGCTATCTATTCTTTATCTTGAATTCAATGAATTAGCACCGACGAGTATTTGGTGTTCAAACTTTGTAACTGTAGGGGTGAGGTTGAAGGTGGTTTAGGCAGCCATCGCTTTAAAGGGATATGTGGAAGAGCAATTGTGCTCCTGTTTGCCAAAAGGAGGGATTTCACGGAGGGTACTGTCGAGGCTTCTGACGCCGATGTTTTTGCACTAAACATTGTTAGTGCATGAGATTTCTTCACAAATATCAATCGTCGATCGATGACTAATTAACATATTTTGCATCATCTCTCCTACAAATAAATTGGGGAGCATCTATGGAGTCTATTGTGTCTTTGTCTTCTTGCTAATTTTTGTCGTATAATTTTAAATTTTTTTTGTCTAGCTATATCTCTTTTAATCTATTTTTCCACTCTGCTTATCAAAAAAAATAAATTATACGTTAACTCCCATGACGAACATAGAGTAGGAGATGGACATAGAGTTGGAGTCAAAATCGAAGATAGATATAGAGACAGGCATGGGCATGGAGTAGAAGTGGGTTTTCATTGTGAACGGAGTGTGATGATTTTTAAAAGGGTATTTTAGGATTTTTTTAAAAAATATATCAATCACGTGATGTCACATGTGAACGGAGTGTGATGGAAAGTTAATAGCAAGGGGGGGTTTTAGACAATTGTCAGAAAATTTAAGGGTACTTTAAGACAATACATAAACAATAAAGATAGAATTAATCAGTTTCCTAAACCATATGGGTATTTTAAAAAATTTGTTATAAAGAATATGGGCAAATGTACTTACCCATTTACCTAGGTAAGTAACTTACCAAAAAGCGAACAGGGCCTAAGTATTTCTTCCATAATATATGCCATATTCTCTTCCAATAAATCTTAGGGAGCAATGAAGGAAAAAAGTTATAACCAACAAACCATATGTGGAAACACCATTGACCATTGCGTAGTTTATAACTAGGATACGAGACAAAATTTCACTAAAATTTTAAGTATCCAACACATTATACTACCCTTGTATATGCAGGTGGGGGTGTCAATTGGACTGGATTTGGTCCAATCCAATCCAATCCAATGGTAGTCCATTACAAATGGACCAGGTCCAATCCAATCCAATAAATACTTTGGACCATTAAGTTTAGACTACTCCAATTCAATGTCTTGTTGGTCCATTCAATTTGTCTATTGAATGGATTGTAGAGGGTCCAATCCAAAACCGGTCTATTGACACCTATATGTAGGTATCCAAGTTTCATAGACAATGAACAGAAATTACATGAAAAATTATCACAAACGGGAGAACATTTGAATATGAGATATAGCTACCTCTTGAACTATGTTGTTGAAAAGGTTATCGTTCAGGTAAGTTGGTACACGGTCCCCAAGGTGTCCATCAAATATGGCAAATAATCCCAACTCGTGATTCCTTTTGTTCTTGTACTCCGCTACATGGTAATCCTCCATGTCATAACCTGATTTTCCTTCCACCAAGTGGAATCCATGTGACACTGTTAAAAAGCACAGATGACTTGCTTCGTCCCTTCCCAGTATCTGGAGCCGGAGATGACGAATTCACACAAGCGTTCTTGATTGAAACCCGGAAAAAAAATGAAAAGAGGGAGGACACATCAGGAAAATTGCAAATTATTAGAACAAATATCCACAAAGCATATTCCTATTACCAACTAGAGTTAAACGAAACCCTAAAAGTTTAAGTTTCAAGATCCTTGTCCTAAAGACAATATAGGTAATTCGAAGTCAGGACCACAAAGCGACCAGCTTCTCCATAAGGTAAAGCCCATTAAGTTTCTCAGAATAAAAGAAAGCTAGAAGTAGAGGGTTCACTTTGGCTGTTTGGTGATGCAAAGCAGCTTGCAAATAAATACACAGAGCAATTGGATATGAAGAACTATCCAAAAAAATTAGAGGAAAACGTGCAGTTCCACGGAAACAGTCATAAAATTTTTATTTGTTTCTTTTTGAGTTTTCTAGCCTTGGTAGAGTTCTTATTTGTTTGTTTACTGTTAGACTAATTAAGAAAAGTGTAAGAGTTGTCTCATTTCTTATTTGTTTCTTTTTTTTTTCTGTTTAGAGTTGGTTTCCTAGCTTGAGTAAGTTTGTAATTCAGGGCCTATAAAAGAGACCCTAGGCATTTGTTACGGTGGGGAATTTGGAATACAATTTCTTTAAAGAGTTTCTTTTATTTTCTGGTGCGTTTCTAGAGTTTCAACCTAGTGGATTTTAGATCCTTTCTTATTAACGTGTAGCTTGCACGATATCAAGCTTAACCACAATTTTTGTCTTGTGTTAGTTGGTATTAGAGCAGGTTATCCTACCTGTTTCATCAGAGCTCTTCAGTATCCTGATGGCTGGTCGTAGAGAAGACATTCACTCTAATGACGAACGTAGAGTAGAAGCTCTATGGGCTGTATTGGAGGCTTAAGAACGTCGAACGAACGAAAGGTTGGATTGTACAACTGAATTGCTAGAGGAGATACATACTACACTTACATGTCTCAGCCTCAGCAACAAAGGGCGTGAAGATGGAGGTAATGCTTGTGGAAGAAATCAATTTGTAGAGAGATGTTCTCCTGTTCGTAGGTGACAATGAGTCTATGAGGATGATTTTGACGATGAAGGAGAGTTTGAAGAGCCCTACGAAGTGGTCAAGCCATGAAGAGTCAAGGAGTACAAGATCAAAGCTGAGATTCCTACTTTCAATGGGAGTCTATACATCGAATGTTTCCTTGATTGGTTGTACGAGGTAGAAAAATTCTTCAACATCATGGCCATAGCAGATGATTGGAAAGTTCCTCTTATTGCTTACAGATTAAGAGGAGGGGTAGGAGCTTGGTGGCAACGCCATTAAGAGAAAAGGGTGTTACAAGGGAAGTGCCCCATACAATAGTGGCATGTGATGAAGCAGTTGTTAAGAGGAAGATTTATGCCTGCAGATCATGAATAGATTCTCTTCCAACAATTTCAAAACTGTGTATAGGGCAAGTGAATGATGGAAAAATACACAGAAGAGTTTCTAAGGATCCAGACCCACTACAATCTTAGAGAGACGAAAGATCAACAGATTTCCAGATATATCAACGGCCTGAGGTACGCCATACAAGATAAATTGGGGATGCAGACTATATGGTTTGCGGATAAAGCCCACAATTTGACACTCGGAGCAGAGAGGTTGCTAGCGTATCAACCAACAAGCAGAACAGAGAATTATAAGTGTACACAAACAAAATCCCAGAAGTCTTTTACCTCCAAGGATAAGCAGCCCCAGGTTGCTAATTAGACTCGATCGTTTGGATTAAAACCTAGAAAGATTCAAGAAGGGGATGGCTTGAAACCCCCGACTGGAGCTTCTACTAGTAGGACCAGAAACAACCCTTATACCAAGCTAGTGCCTAATGGCCCTTGCTACAAGTGCAATGAGTATGGACACAGATCCAGTGGTTGCTCTCTATGAAAGGGTGTTGTTCACTTGGTAGATGAGTAGGATCGGGAGGAAGACAACCATAATCATGACACAAACCTGGATGAAGGCGAATGTGATGATATGGTCGATAGAGAGGATGGTGAACCAGTTACTTTTGTGGTGCAACGAATCCTCTACACACCAAAGAAAGAGGAGATCTCACAGTGGTGAAAGATCTTCCATTTCAAGTGCTCGATCATAGACAACTACAACTACGAGAATTATGTGTCCAAGGTGTTGGTTGATCACTTATAGTTGACAATAGAACCACATCCGACCCCTTATTAGATTTGGTGGATTAAGAAGGGCCCTACCATTAAGGTGACAGATATTTGTAAGGTTCCTCTCTCCTTGGGTGAATTTTATAAAGACATTGTTACGTGTGATATAGTAGATATGGACGTACGTCATGTGTTGTTGGGGTGTCCATAGCAATATGATATTGATTCTACACATAGGGGTAGACAAAATATGTATTTGTTTATATGGAAGAACAAGAGGATTGCTCTTGTACCAATGGGAGGCTCACCCAAAGTCTTTAAAGTGGAGGGGCAATCTTTCCTTTCAATGTCATCATTGGAACTTGTTCGAACGTGAAGTTCTGTAGCAGGTGCAACTCCTGTTGAAAGAGTTCAAGGCCCTAACTATGGAACCAGACCATTTACCCTCTATGCGATACATCTAGCATCAGATCGATTTGATTCCTGGTAC